TTACCCCCCGGACAGCTAATCAGGGCTCTTCCCCCGCCCCTAACTCCCCGCCCTGCTCACCGCAGGCCCATCTCGTGGGGTATGGCGTTACGCACTGCACACAGACACAGACCACACACACACGCACACAGTGATATTGCCCGTCCTTCGCCGAACTGGGCCCGATAAACGAACACCCGCGTTCCACCCAGACGAGCCGCAGAAAGAAAGCTCGTTTTGGTCGGATCGCTCGCGGCGGCCCGCGGGCTTGATCCGGGCTCTGTTTTGCCTGTGCGCCGGCAGCTGTGTGTCGTCGTCCTCGTCAGGCGTATCCGTGCCTCCAGAAGAAAGGGGAGACGTGCGTTGTCTCCCGACCCGGCTGCCGTGGGGCCAACGACTGGGCGGCACACGTCGCCTGTAAAATAAACAAGTGAAAGTCGAACTTCTGGCAAATGGCAGGCAAAGTTTTCCGCTCTAGCCGGCGTTCGGCCTGCATCAAAAACTCTGATTGAATTCGGGGGTGAATAATCCGGTCCGTGGACAAGGGCGACGTGCCGATGCCCGCCGCGCTGCCCGTTGCCCGGCCTCGTACCGCCCTCCGCGTCTCCTCACTCCCCCTTGCTGGTTCACTTGCGGAACCCAGCGTCGCTCGTTTTCTGTCTTTTCATCTAACCCTTTTAAATTTCATGACACTGAAAGTCCAAGTGCGATTATAAATTCATATTTCACAAGGAAGGGTCTTTATCGCACCTTCAACGTAATGATTAAGTTGCCGAGGTATGAAATTCATTGCATTTCAACGCATTGGCTTTTTATTGCTGTCAGAGATTTGATTGAGTGAAAATGACATTAGCCTTTTCATCGCAGCTATAAGCCTGAAACTTTTCTTTGCTAGAATGTCAGTGCAACAAAAACAGTTTCGAGAGAAAAACGTTGCTCACAACGTGCACAAGTTTACCTTTTCAAAATAAATGGCCTAGTTTATGAAAGACCGGGTAAAGATCCGGTCTTTCGTTTTTCAGAAGAAGATTTCGTTGAATGCAACGGCGTAGCATATATCCATTTTTCACCTTGATCCAAAATAATTTTGATTGGCTCAGCTCCTTGACCTTTTGGATTCATTTAATGTAGCTTTTTTCTGAGTACGGGTAGAGTTTGTTTCCGTAAGTCACTGGCCGCAGTACTGCCGAGACTGCTAAGAAAAACTACTACGCATGTGCCCCAATTCCTCGGCCTGTGTGTGTGCCTCCCTGCCGTGCGCTCCCCCCCCCTTTCCCCGGCCACAATTAACTCCATTACTTTCTTTATTCACTAATAACACACGCATGGCACGGCAAGGCGTGGCCGGTGTCGTCGAAACACATTACCGAAACAGCCTCCCCCCACCCCTCCGCCTCCGGGCGGCGGCTGGCCGACTCTTAATTATTTTTCAAAGCAACCCAGCGTGTCTGTCCCGCCACGGCGGGCCGTAGGCAGCCGGGAGCCGAGCGGAGTGCCGTATTTGGAGGTGGGGGTAAGCAAGCCGGCCTTACGCGCCTGTCGGCCAGACTAGCTGACTATAAGCTCCAAGCGACCGCGGCCCAGATTAATGACAATCAATTAAATCGTGAATTCGCAAGATGATCTGAGTTGACGCTGTTCATAATGTAGGCACCGGGACCGAGAGGACCTTCTTCTCTCATGAAGTAACCATTCTTCTTAATAGCCCAACTTTCCTCCGTTTCTTTTTCCCTTGTCACAGTTTTTACCCGGGTGTTTTTTTCTGCCGACTGAACTATACTTTATCACGCGCGATGTCTAGTAGTGACACAATCCGATAAAACCGAATGCCTGATTTGTTCCACCATCGGCTGACAGTCTGACAGTTTCGGGGGGTGAAATATGTCCATAGAGTCCGTGCCAGCTGGAGCGCCGGACTGGCTGTGACGAGGATCGGTCGCAGCCCACCTAGCCGCCTTTCGAACCACCTCGGCCGGGAACGCAAACACTTTCAGACTGATTAGCTACGCACCGAACTTCGGCAAAGTGCCATAAAGGGTGAAGTTTCAGACACAGTTGTCATTATGCAACGCTTATCAAGTTAACGCCTATTGAGACTGAAAAGAAAAAAAAAAGATAAGAGGATAAACAAAAAATTTTATTTCATGAAACAAGTTGTCAACGTTTCGGGCGCTCTTTGTTGGCGAGCCGCTCAAATGTAGCGTTGAGCTGGAACAAAATAAAGTAGTTCCATAGCGCTCCAGGGTTGGGGGCTGTGGGTGCACTCGAAACCTACCCCCGCACAACTTGCTTTACTTTTGTCTTTTAATTGCCAAGAACAAAACAACGGTAGTCAGCCAAACCTCGTTAGCTGCAGTGACAAAATCTAATTTGGTTTTTATGTTGGCGTGCCTTGCCGGCCCGTGTGCCGGCCAGGCCGGGCCCAGCCAGACACGTACACCCCCACCCCCGCCTCCCTTTGCATCTAGCACAGCCCAGAGCACAGCTGTCCTTGAGTGGAGGGCCGCCTCCTGCGGGCCGCAGACGTGTTGAAACTAAGCACCATTCAATTTGGTGTTGTGCTTGAATATTTCGTTTCCGAGGCGAGAGAGGTGTGATTGTCGCGTTTAGGCTTCGTCCACGGATCTTAATTCAACACGAAAGTCATTGAATCAATAGACAAATTTTTACTAGTCTAGGGACATAGCATAGCAGTCCATAAATTTGGAGACAAAATAATCCTTGTCCTGGCTTATCTTACAAGGACTGTTGTTTCACCTTCCAAGCAGTCAAAGTCAGAACACGCGGTGAATCAAAAGAGAGTGAAAAGATAAAAACAAGGGGGGATGGGGGAGCAGGCTGAGAACTGTCATGTTGGCGACAGAATAAAAACGCCTGTCTGTGATTTATGCTGTTGTAACAGTAGGACAGTAGCAGTGCTGCAACATTGTTCGTTCGGAATACCACAGCTTCACTGGCAGTCTTGATCCTAAAAAGAAAAAAAAAACGCACAGGGCTCTGTTGTCACTGAAAATAAGAGTCATAATCAGGACTAAAATTTTTGGTGAGGTATTCTGTATTACCCAAATTTGTGGGAGACTCATTTATGAGAATGAATGACAATCATTACAGGTTCCCTCGCCAAAATTTGGGTCACTATTCAATCGATAGCAGACACCCTTTGCTCAAATTTTGGTAGGGATACCTTCATTCCCCAAATCTGGGAGGTAACGTCATCCACATTCGGGTCATAAAGTATACCTCGCCCAGAATATGGCATTGAAAGACATTCTTAGTGGTCGCTCGTCGCGCGCGTCTTCCCCGGGCAGCGTGGCCGCAAGGGTGGGAGGTCTATCGGCAAGGGCCTCGCCTCGCACGGCCTATTACGGACTCAGCGTGCCAAGATCAAGGGACGCTCCCTCCGCCCACGAGGACCCGAGGAGGTAAACAGCTCGATCGCTTCCCCGTAGGCCAGCGGGGCCGACGGGGCCCCAACCAGTCCGTAATCAGGGGGCAAACAATATTGCGGATTTTAATAAGGTTTATGAAACAGCAGTGGCGCGTCTTCGTTCGCTGACGAAACCACCGCCTGGAGTGAAAAGCCGCGCTGGGCGGCGCTCTTCATGTACTTTCACTGTTATGAGTATTGCCGTATTTGCGCATAAGCTGTGCATGATTTAGTACATATTTTGCTTTAGTAATTTTAATATTGTGCGTTTATTTGAGTACAAATTTGTTTATAACATACCAAAATGCGTCATTACATCATTTCGTGTGCGGGCGGCGCAGAGGCTCAATCGCACAGCACACATCTTTTGCTGATTTTGCGTGTTTTCCTGTTAGACCTTTTTTGGACGTTTAAAATTTCCGTTCCCTCTCGAAAACCGCAAGTTTCTGAGAGGCATTTTGCTACCATCATTGCTGCTATATTCTTTTAAGTAATCATGGGCTAAGCCAAGCCAGATGGGCAAGCTTCCTCGGCTGTTGGCCAATCTACATAAGTAAATCTGCGCATCCGGATAAAGTATGCATCCATAACAGAGAGCTAGCCTCAGGGTCTTCCTCCTTGCTGGCTTTACCACACATGCGAAAGGGAAGCACTTCCTCATGTGACAGCAAAACATCTCGGCAAAGATCTGCAATTTATCTTATTTTTGGCGCGCTACTCTGCAATGCGAGGTGTCGGCAGACTGGCAGGCTGATGTGCTGCTGACAAAGGGATGTTCCAAAGCGACGTGGCATGAGCGAGGCTGGGAGGAAGAAGGGCCATCGTACGTTCGGAGGGAGCAGAACAGCTAAAGGGTGGGGTTTTTATGTGACCGCGAGGTTTCGCATTGCGAACGACCCTCACAGACCATTGAAAACTGAAGGGTGAGAATTGAGAATTCTGACCAAATGTTGGCTAGTTGTCACCGTTGTGGTTGAATTGACACCTAATTTTTTGCATGAACTGTTCTACCACCCTATATGACACCACTACATGGCAAGAATTCTGTTCCTTGCTGACTCACGATCACGATTGAACAACGCTTTCATTTCCTTTGGCGGTGCCGGGCAAAAAGTTGGGGGCGGGGTTCAAATTTGCATTCTTTGTGGCGTGAAGGACAATGAAAATCCTCTCCGTGGTCCCGAAGCAAGCTCATAGTAGCGACTTACCCCTTTCCCCCGGCCCCCCGCCGCCCGGCTACCCTGCATGCCCCCACCACCGCGCCACCCCGCCCTGCCCCGCCCACCCAAGCAGTGCGCGAGGCAGCGGGCCCGAGCCGCGAGCGCCGCACCGCGCCGCGCCCTGTCCGTATCAGCACGCTGGCCGAGCGGAGCAGACAAGCAGACGCGGCTCGGTTCGGCAGCGCGCTCGCTCGGCCTGCTCGGCCCGACGACGACTCGCTGCGCTTCGCTTCGGCTCGGGGCGCTCCGCCTCGCTCCGCCCCGGCCCGGCCCAACCCGGCCCGGCTCGCCCAGTCCGCTCACACGTGTTGACCGCCTCCCCGGTGCCGCACCGTTCGCGCCGCGCCGCCTTACGCAGGGAAGTCCACCGCCGCGCCGCCCGGTGCCGCCCGGTGCCGCGGGCCGCCCCAGTGAAAGTGAACCAGTGTATCATTTGCAAGGTGCGCCGCTGCGGCCAGGATAGCGAAGACAGTGTCTGGCGAGACGCCTTCCCGTCCGTGCCCATGAGGTAGGTTGTTGTCGGCGTCTGGGAGCAGTGCGCGCTCCCTGGGGCCGAAACTTTAGCCCATCAACGGATTATCCCTGCCCTTTTAAAAGAAAAAACACAAAAACTACCAGTGTTCAGTTACAAAAAAAGCGGGATAAGTTTCGAGGGGTGAATCATTACCGTACCCATATGTAACGAATGGCCCGTGCTTGTATATCTATTTACCGGAACAAACAATTTTTTTTTGCGTGCAGTTTGGTTAGTTTGTGACAGTGTTTCTTAAGGGTGAGGGTGTCCTCCTTCGGCCAGTATGTCAGAGTCCCAGATTTGAAACGACTCACACACGCAGAGTGTGTCTCGACGTAACTTTGTTCCTCAAATAAACTTGTGATTTTTATATGTCCGGTCTGGAATTTGTTTCGTTTGTTGGCACTCGCGGCGTGTATGTGTGTGTGTGAGGGTGTGTGTGTATGTATGTGTCTGTGTGAGATGACCGCATCCTCCATCGAGATGCCGGACTGGCAACTTCGCGTTGCGCCTCGGGGACGCGGCCAGACGCGGCAGGGAAGGAGTTGCCGGTTGTTTTTTTCTCGCGCCTCTCCGCTCCTCTTCACCGCCCGGTTTTCCAAACAAGTTAGAGACTGCCCCCTCAGGACGCCCCTCCCCCCTTTCCCGTCCACTCTCGGCCGCAACCAAACAATGGGCGTTTTTGAAAAAGGCGGGTGCGTAATTGAAGCGAAAAGCGTTCATTAAAATGCCGGTCCATTCCGGGATAATTAGCCTCCAAATTCTTGTAGCGTCGCGCCCTGTTGTTTTTTTCGGGCTCCTCTGCCTGCAAAAGTTTCGCTAATGGTGTCCGGGCCGTACAAAAAGCCACGGCCTTCGCACTAAAGCCCTTGTAGATTCTGGGTTTGCACGCCATGGATTAGTTTTGTGCAGCCATAAGGCGGTCGGAATTTGGTTTCAAGTACCGATGATTTCGTCCAAAGACAAAGGTTTGCTGTCCGTTTCGTTATTACTTATGGACGGGAAGCAATATCTGTGTACTTATATCCGTACATTTAGGGTTCAGACAAATTTAATAGAAATGGTTTTATGCTTTGGGTTTTATGCAACGTTGCCATATTATGAGGGTAATATTCCCCGGATGAACCTGAGTTAAATGTAATCATGTCAACTTCAACGTGCCTACTTGGCAACTTCTCGCAAGCAAAGCCGAGATATGGCGTAGCAGGCACGCTGAGGTTGACAACTCGTTCAACACCTGTGCATAGTTGGAATTTTTGCCTACGTACGCGGCCTTGGCCACGGCGCCTGCCAGGACGAGGGTAGGCCGGCCCGCCGAACGCGCGCGCTGTGCGTGTCTGCCTACCCTCGACTTCGCAGGCGCTCGGCCGAGGACCCATTCGACAGGTGCTGGCAAAGTAAGAACTTTTGCTCACCTTTAATGTAGCAGCACTGGTCACAGGTCTTGACTGTACTCAGCGGAAACAAGCTCCGGAGCTGAGCCAGCCCCCAATTCCTCCCCCGCCGTTACAGGATGCTGGTTCTAACGGGATAAGTTGAAGCTTTGAAAACCAAATGATCGTAGAAGCGGAAAAAGGGAATACTTTGACTTTTCTCCTGCACTAGCAAAGAGGGTTGAAGCGAGCAAAAGTCACTATTTCTCCTTGCAATTCCACGTGGCTATTAGCAATTCAATTATGAGAGCACGCGGGGGCGGTCCCTGTGTTCTGGTGAGCCCTGCGGCTACATCGTCTTCTGGCGATTCACGAAACAAGACGACGTATCGCAGTGTAGCCGCAAAGGAGGGAAAACCAAACGCCGCTCTGCTGGCGTGGGCTGAGCCGCGCTGCCGGTCAAGCGGCTGTAGGCTGTAGTAGCCTTCAGCATCCCTGCAGAGCGCTTCGGTTCTGCCTCTAGGTTAATCCGAAGAGAAGCCAAGCCTGGTGGATGGACCGAAACGGCCGTGTTACCCTAGCCAGAGGCTCTAACAGCCTCATCGTTCGCTCCTCATATGCACTGTGAAAAGTCTGCAGTTAATCTGCTTCGTGAGAAAGAGGAAAAAAACACTGTAGAATCGCAACTTCATACCGCAAGCTATTTTCTTTGCGACGAGCAACTACGGGTATTTTCAAGATATTTTTCTTTTTACATATCTTAGTACGTACTACTCACTTTCTTCGGCATCTTTTAACAACGTGAAAACTGGACTGAGAATTTGCTAGGGAATGCAGTCAATGAGACGTCGTTCTTTTGAAAGTCTAATGCAGCCCCTGGGATACGGACCCGTTTTTCCAGGGTGATTCCAGGTTCTGCTTTTGCCGTGCACACCAAAGCCGTCTAACGACCTGCGTCGTCTGGGCCATCAGTCCCAGGGCAGTCCTGTCCCGTACTTTGAACCTTTCCACTATCACTGGACGCATTACTCGCTGTCCCGTGAGGATATTCGCACGCTGCGTGTCCCCGCGGTGTCCCCCGAGCACGCCGTGCCACTATCGGTCAGATTAGGATCAGATTAGACACCGGCGCGCGCCGGTCCGGTTGCCGGCTGTCGCAGGCGAGACGGTTGCCGGCTGTCGCAGGCGAGACGGTCGTGTGCACTGCGCACCCCGTGACGTGTCACACGCGTCACCGAATCGGTGCGTCCGTGCCAAGCGAGATGCAGCCATTGTCGGAGGAGGGGGAGCTATTTGGCTTTGCGCGCGATGATGGTGGTGCCATGGCCGTGCCACGGCCGTGGCGCGGGCTGGGAAGGATATCGAACGCCGTCCATTGTATAGTGTGTGACGAGGATGCACATTCGGCGCCACACATACATGAGCTCACATACACACACACGCGCAGACAGCGGGCAGACGGACACTCATACATGCGCCGCCAGACATACCCACACACACCAACACACTCACACACGAGCAAACACACGGGCTCATCGCCTAAGCCGCTGTCCGATGCTGGCAGCATGACATCGGATGGCTCGACTTTTGAATGGCAACAACACACAGTTTCGAATGCATGGAGTGTGAGGCGAGCTGCTTTTTTTGTTCCCTCTCCTTTCGACTTGAATGGCGCGACGCTACTGTCCTTTTGGTATTGAGATAGGTCATCCACGTGGCCGTGGATTCGTAGCATCGTTTTTCTTCGAGCGCGGCAGACCCTTTTCAAAATTCTATTTAAAGACAAAAAAAAAAAAAATTGAATCATTTGACTATTTATATTTGATTTTATACATATAATTGGCTATGTATTTTTGACTACAATTGGTCATATATTTGACAACATGATTTTGGTATATGTGTCGATACCGCGGCAAACCGTGGTTCACAAAGGAACTCTCGTCGTGGAAAATTTTGAGTGAGGTGCGTCGCTGAAATAATAATAAACTAGGAAAAGTGTGTGTGCCTCTGTGTATTTGCGTTTGTGTGCGCTCGTGTATGTGTTCGGGAGACGCGAGGGACTCATGGCCCGTGTGTGCTTTAGGGTGATGGCACACTGTGCCGCGGCCAGTGCTGTGAGCGGCGGGCCACCGCTCAAACATGCATCAAAAAGCTGCGCATACAGGAGAGATACTCTTTTTTTTTATCGAGGAATGGACAAAAATGTCATTAGATCAGTTGCAAGAGTTCTGGTGAAGTGTTAGTCAGTCCGATACTTAACGTGAAAAATTTGAAGGGAAAAAAAGCTACAGAATATGTTTTGCTGTGCGTTGTTCCGACCTAAGCTACCCGCCGGCGAGAATGGCTGGAGGTAAATTAAAAACAAAAGCAATAACACGGGCACTCATATTTAATAAAATACACGTCCAGCGGGCAAAAAAATGCCGCGCGTGTTCAAATGTAGACACGTCCATTTATTATTAGTTTGAAATGCAAATGCTGCATTATACTGCAATCTGTCGGACAGCAGGGGTAACACGGGGTGCTGAATGCCAAGCACGCCCGGCGTGTCAACAGGCCGGAATCGAGTGTTGCCACGAGTTGTGCCAAGGGGCTCTGGACGGGCATTGAATAATTTCACGGTGTGTTGTTAGCCTAAACAGCGCGGCCCATGCGACGCCAAGCACAGCCAAATCTGTAGTGGACCTAAGGAAGCGAAGGCCGGCCGGAGCCGCGCGCTGACACGGGTGTAGTAACTCGCCAAGTACACACGGCTGAATCAAGTCGGACAGCAAGTGAACTCGCCGGTTTAAAAAAAAGTAAGGTTTTAAAAATCCTTTTGATACGTTTGGTCAATCGAGAAAAGTAACGTGTCCGCAAGGAAGACAGCTGCAGTCCCACAGTGGGTCAGAAGATCGGTGGAGGCGGCCGAAACTCCAGATGCGTTTTAAGCTTCAGAGTTGCTTATCAGTACCCGAACCGAACGTGTGACTCCACCAATGGATTGCTCTCCGAACGAGGGGTCTCGACCGCCTTCTTTGGTCTTGTGGCCCACTGTGTGTCGGTGCCCGTCCGTCCACACCAAACAAACTACATTGCGATAAGGACCGACGACCCAAATGTCTTTAAAACATCAAAAACAACAAAACTTTGCATACAAAACGTTCTAGATGACGAATGTTCATTTATGGCAGCAATTAGACAGTGCACGCCGACCATGTTCTGCGGTTCACAGTGGGTGCGCGTTTCGGAGAGCCCTGGCCAGCAGCTCATAATTTCACAGTCCACATGGCAGGGGTACGATAAACGAAATCAATTTCCGCCCCCTCCGACCCTGCCCCCGCCGACGCCACGTCAGCGCCTAGCTCTCTGCCCGGCATAAGGCATTCCGGAAAACCCGTTTCCAACTCCAGCCCGGCTCCCCCAATGACACAAGTGGCGTAGAAAATTTGCTTTCCCTCGGAAGGGGAGGGTGGGCTGGAACTCTGCAAAATGAAGTCCCGCTTCAGGCCTTCCAGGCTAGAAAATGATCGTGTGAGTTGTACTGGAAGCAGACACTGAAAATCAAAAAGTGAGACGCCCCTCTCCAAGGGTCGAGACATAACTGTCTGACCGAATAATGGTACACTTTGATGTGTGGTC